ACCAGTCTCAGTCTCTATGGAGAGTGTAATCAATATCACCTTAATTTCTCCATTTCTTACGGGATGTTGGCAAAGAAGTCGTGACAATAAGTTAACAAAAACTAAAGACTCAAAATCACCTTCAGGGCTACCAATGATAGCAGGGCAACAACCTGTTGGTTTCCTAGATTTAAATTTATTGCATTTTCCCTGGTTTCCCATGTCAGTTCTAAACTGTTAGTGAAGGATATTTATACAGATGCAATAACTCAAGTTCCAGTCTACTGTCAATCAAGTCAATATAGACTTCAGATATATATATTTTTTAAGTTAACATCTCAACAGCAGTTCTGGCAGCAAACCTCTCACAAAAGGATTGAATGAGACCAGTATCGGTATTATTTCACTAAATCAAATAGTGTGAATTCAGGTTAAGGGCAGTTTCCAGATTTCATTCTCTTATCTTTCATTATTTCAGCACCAATAGTCTCTCCTACTAAATTTCCCCCATATATGCGTGTGTCTTTTCTCTGGGCAGAGACTTGGAACTGACACTGTCCGCAGGGCCAGAAAAACTCAAACCCTGATGAAGATGAAGCGTGGTCTGATCACGTACTGCACTACAGTATCCTACCTCCTGCCACAGGAGTGACGCTTTGCAAGGGACAAGAATATGCTGCATATGCAGCAGCAAAGCAGCTCATTAAAGGGGAAGGGAGGAGGACAAAGCAGACACACAGGACTTCTCTCCCTCTTCTGGCTCAGATCGGCAGTGATATGAACAAACTGCTTGTGATTTGCTCTGTTTTCATTTTCCTCTCAGGTATTATCATCTTTCAATACTTTTAATAAGTATTATCAACAGGATCATCCTAATTGCTAATATTCTTATTCTTATATCTGTACTACTACTGCTATGAGTTTTTAAACAATAAGTAACATAATAAAATAATAATAATAAAATAATAAATAATATGTGTTCCATGTATAGTTGAATACAATAATTATTTTGTAACATCCTAAATACTGAGGTTTAATACTGCATATTCTGCTGTTCTTCATTTTCCAGCCATGGCAGCTGGTGACATTATCTCCTCCGAACAGTCTGACATCTCCAAGACAGAGCGGGAGTCTGTGACAATTAGCTGCACTTATGACACAAGTAGCAGCAATGTTCGTCTTTACTGGTACCGGCTGAATTCACAGAAATCGCTGGAATATATCCTGTACAAAGGGGCTCGATCAGTTAGTTTTTCTCATACCGCCAATTTTGCTAAAGGACATTTTAGTTCTACTACAGACTCCCAATCCACAACACTCAGCATTTCAGATCTGACCCTTGGGGACTATGGTGTTTATTACTGTGCTCTGAGAACAGACCCACAGTGTGCAAACTGACTGAGAGGCTATACAAAAACGAAATTGCCAGAAAAGCCATTCTCAACACATCTGTTTAAAGACAAATGCTAGGTTGATGGAGAAAGATGTGGTTGATTTTGTCAGATAATATTCCATTTTGAATAGGAAAGTTCAGTCTGCTGTCAGTTAAGTTAAGTTATTGTGGTCTTTTCTTTAAATGAAAAGGAGAAATACTGAGCTGGTTGATTAGAGATTAAGTGCAATACCTTTTGGGCTACCTTAATGTGGTTTGGATATTAAAGAACAGCTTGCCTTATCGAAAGCCAGCTTCCTGTATATGCTGTTGATGCTCTTCTGATTTCTTCTTCTTTGAAGCAGAACTGAACGCAGCTGCATGTGGGAAAAGCTGCTCAAGGTGCTGATATACTGTATCATGCCAGGCAAATACAGTATGGGATCACTGCTGTCCTATCAGGGGGCTGTAAAGCAGCCCTGCTGTTGATACCCTGAAGCCCTCTGTGGATTGCTTCACAGCCGAAACGTTGTGATTTCTCTCTTCTCTTTTCAGCATGGAATAAACCTATTGTATTACTTCTTTCTTTGCAGACTACGCATGCCGACACAGCTGCCCACCTGAACTACAAAAAACTATATTGTATGTACTATGATCTCATTTATGAAAGACCAAAATTCATAGTCTATTAATGAATTTCAAATAAGTGCGCGTGATGGCTGCAAAGGAAAAAGTAAAGAATAATTTCACGCTGACAAGAATAAAGAAGAAGCAATATATTTTGCTTTTATGCTTTTCATACCTGGAGAAACATTGTGTTTCTTACTTCTATAGTCCACGAATGGGTAACTCTTGAAGTCAATAGGCTGGATTCTTTACTGACATACAGGAAGCCTGATTAAAACTGAATATATCTGATTAATCTCTTATCATTGCTTAACAGGCTTCACTCACCTAGTGAGCCACAGCAAGTAATTTACAGTGACACATCTGACCAATGAGCTTCATAGGATTGAGTCCCTGTCATTGGTTTGCATTTGCCAAGTGGGTGGAGCCATACTGCTGCCCCTCCCCCAACCCACACAGTCACACTCTCATTTACTCACCTCCTTCCTCTGTTCTGGGCTGAGTTGATTTCTCTTTTAATACACTGAGCAGCACATTTCACAGCACAATGTATCTTTCTTTAGGGTTGCTGCTCTGCATTGAATTCTGTAAGTATTCCTTTCTAGCATCTGTGTGTTTACCATTTTACCTACCCCACCATCTCCTGAATATTTAATATTTTGATTATTATTCATGACAGATGTTTCCTCTGCAAACCAGATCAGATCGAAGGGCACAGTGGCATTAAAGACCGAAGGTGAACAAGCTGTGTTGGAATGTACCTTCAGCACGAGCAGTTCCAGCTATCTGATCTACTGGTACCGCCAGTATCCTGGGATGGCACCTCAGTTTATACTGTACACAGGGGCTCTTAGCAACACTGCAGATTTTGCCAAAGGAAGATTCTCAGCCAATGCTGATACAACCACTGGTCTGACAACTCTAACCATTTCTAAAGTGCTTCTGGAAGACAGCGCTGTGTATCACTGTGCACTCAGAGACACACAGTGGATCAGTCCTGGATGCACCAATACAAAAACCCTAATTTACTCTCAAAGTACTAAAACTCTACTGTTCTTGTTGTTCATAAGGACACTAAGGTTAACCTCAACCTCAAGGCAGTTGATACACTGTAAAATTTGTTTAGTTCCAGAATCTTGTGGACTGATTATACTGTAGATATAAAACCTGTTCTGTTTCCTTTTTGCTTTCATCGCTGTCTCACTAGCAGATGTGTATCAACCAATTAAAATGTGTATGGTGAAAACTGGCCTCCTTTTCTCATTGCTGGTACCAGGCAATTCCTGGATGTGCCAACGGTTAAAGCAGTTACAGATGCAGCTTGTTTCTGAAAAGTCTGAACATAAGCCTTTAGCTCATGTGGTTTCTAGTAGTTAATAGATCTGAGGATCTTGTCCAACTGTCTCTGGAAGGAAGCCAGGACAAGTGTATCAACAATATGGGTGGGTAGGTGGCTCCAGATTCCCATGGACCGTTGTGTAATGAATACCACCAGTCATCAACATAAAATACACTTCCATATGAGACATTACTTCCCCAGGAGGCAAAGATTAAGAGAAGCAGAAATGAATAGGATTGTTATGGCATGAGTGGAAAATGGATGGCAACAGCTTAAGGTGATTCTGCTTAAAGCATAGAACATATTCATCCCAAGAAACAGCAAACCAGAAGCTGAAAACAGTGTGCCAGATGAGACAACGAATATAAGGAGAAAGCAAGCACTTGATAAAATCAGTAAAAACCAGCAGTTAAGAAAAAGGAGTGCAATGATCTGCAAGCACATGTGAAAAGGTTTATTGGAAAAGGCAAGGGAAAGACAGAAAGGAATATGTTAATGGAGGCTAAATGAAAAGGTTTTTCAATAGAAAAACAGCAAGAGACGCATTAAGGATGCTTCTCTTCATCAACAGCTAGATGATGATACAGCAGCAGCCACTCTCAACTAGGCTACAGGGCTCCCCTTAGTGGTGATTTACTCAACCATAGTTACAAAACCCATTCTCATAATAACCAATAAAAGGGAAGGGAAATACCTCCCTCTTCTGCCTATTATTCCTGAATAATTTACAACTTTTATTCTGATAGTAGAAGCAATGGAAAACACAATACCTTTGATAAGCCGGACTTTGTTTTAATGCACAAGTTGAAGGTTTATTTGGGTCTCATTATTGAAATCCAATTGTCAAAAAAGAAAATATGTTTCTTTCTGTATCTTTCCATGAAAATGCATGAAACATCAAGCATCGCTGATCACTCCATTCTCTGACTCTATCTATATAACTTCTATTTGAGTATTTACTAATATTTGTACACTGCCAGATACAGTAGGAGTGTGTGATCTTTAAGCTCAGGTAGTTTTTTTTTGTTTCATCTGAACAAAGTTTCATCCCAACAGTGAGTTCTGCAAATTATTTTAATCAACATCATTTCAGTGAAAGGACATTGTCTATACTTTAATGAAATGGATGCAAAAGCATAGGTTTCTGATCCTGTTTTTCTCTTGCACAGATCCCTGACAAGCAGAAATGACACATATTTCCTGTGCTAAGCTGCTGACTGCTACATTGTCCAATTGTACAAACATAATATTTTTTAGCCTTTCATTCGTTATATGGTTCCACTTTTGTTTGTGTGCTGTTGTAACAAAATTATTTTACCTCTCAATTTATTTGAAATTTCTTTTTAGCGTTTTTTTATATAGATAATAAATATAAAGGATATTTGTCCTTCCAAAAAGCAATGACAGTTGAAATAACACAAAGCAGACAGGTTGCTTTTCACTGTGAGAGGGAAAATGCTCAGGGGTTCAAAGCAGTTGCTGTAATGTTGAGTTCATGTACAGTAGGTCACATGGCTCTCTCTCCCCTGTCCTCTGCTGCAGTACCTCACTTTGCCCACGGGGTGGAAGCGCAACTACAGCACCAGGCTGTTGCATTGTGCAACCGTGTGACTATCAGTGAGGTCACACACAAGCAGTGAACTGCCTGTATGCAACATTAACTCCCTCACACTGGGACTGAGGCTGCGAGAATCAGATCAGGGCTCAGCAGAATTACAAAGATGCTCTTCATGCTTCTCCTATTCACAGCTCTGCCAGGTAGGTCATCAGAATAAGGCTTTAGAATCCAATCTTGCTGTGGAATCACACTTATTGATTCACCACTGAAAGATTTTCTTGCACAGAAGCTGATTAAAAATAAATGTACAGTGTATCTTACTAATCAAAACTGCATATGAGGTTTTCAAGAGTGTTTTCAAATAATGGCAGCATTGCTGATTTTTAATCATATTTTTGAAACAAACTGTAAAGTGTATGGAATTCTAAATTTAAAAAGAAAATCAAATAAATGACTACCTAAAAGTATCACTATCTTGAGGCAATGAAAAATAGCTCTTGCCCATATTATGTGATCTGCTGAAAAATGTCTTCCAGTTCCATTAAGAATGTGATGTTCTTTGACTGTAAATAAAATATTTGTTTTTTGCAGGGGACAGTTCAGGTAACACACTGACTCCAGCTTCAGAGTCAGAACATGTCAGAGAGGGAGGCAGTGTGACCTTCTCGTGTGTCTACACCGGTGATGTGCTCTATCTGCAGTGGTACAGGCAGTATCCTGGCCAGCGTTTGGCATTCATCGTCCTCATTCATGAAGCTACTCTGACAGAGAGCAGATCTGACCCTGCAGACCACCGTTTCAACATCGAGCTTGATAAAGAGAAGAAACGTGTGGAGCTGAAGCTCTCCTCCGCTACAGTGACAGACTCAGCCCTGTACTACTGTGCCCTGAACCCCACAGTGACAGGAAACTCACAGCAACACCTTACAGAAACTGGCAACACATAGGAATATAAAACACTAAGGAAAAAATCAAGAGTTTTCCTAGAACAGTTGAACCTCTCGTTAACCCAGTGTATTTGAAATGTCCTGCCACTCTGGACAGAGAGAATTACTCTTCTCAATTAATGGTTAACTACCATCCAAAGAGCCATATTATCATAAGAACAGAATGGGTGACCAATTCATGCCACTAATATATTTAATTTTTACAGAAGCTCTAGCACCGCTCTGCTCAGAAATAAATAACTTTTTTAGCTCATTTAATCTTTTAAATTTAAACATTTGTCCAGCATTCTGATTTTTCTGACTTTTGTAACACCTTTAGAGAGATGCAAAGGACTCTATTATTGCTTGTTTTTAGAAATAATGCCAACGAAGGCACACGTTGTTAACGCTGGCTGATATTTAAGCAAGATGCATGAACACACAAGCATTTGGTCAGGTCTGGAGAGACACCCGTGGTCATCAGTTCCTAGACTGCTCACACGCAAAGCAAGTGGTCCAGTGTCCAAGCTGATTATACAGTAGGCTATACTCACTCTCACCCTGAAACTACGTTCATTGTATAATTCCATTATTTTTATTTCTAAGTATTAACACAGCAGACAGTTAAACAAATGAGCGAATGCATTCCCTGCACAAAAAAATGTTTAGAATTTAATTTTTAAAGAATTATTTGCAATTTTTGTGAGCTCATTTAATTGATTCAACTCTGTTACTACTGACATCAGCATCAGTATGTACAATGGAACTACCGTAAGTGACATCTGCCTAACGTCCATGACCCACTTAATAAACTTGTTTTAAAAGGGAGGTTGCAACTAACTATAGTCAACAATTTCGTATTTGGAAGCAGATTTAAGGGTATTGCTGTAGATGTGTAGGAGAGTGTTAATTTCTCGTTTAAGGTCCCACGAGCACATTATTAAGGCAATGAAGTACTTTGTTTCCCAATGACCTGTGAGAATACATCTGTAAAACATAACGTTCTTGAATGGCAGTATAAACCAAATAATAAAGGCTTTTGCAGTTTAAAAGAAAAGCTCTTACATCATCACTGTCTTCTATTGGGAAAAGGAAGGTGGGAGGGATTATAGCAGTTCATGCACTTGCAGAACATAACATGAATGAACAGCCTTTTACTCACAGATCACTTTTACTCAGTGATCACTGCCACAGCCTCTACCATGGGTCTCAAATCCGGATTATTGCACTCAGTGGTTATTGCACTGGTTTTCTTTCTATGTAAGTATTTCAAATATACTTTATTACCATCTGTTGATAAATAAACGTTCTTATAAAAGTACCCAAAATGTAACCAGTTTTGATCAATCTGTTTAGCATTTACTTATATATTTACATTAACATGTAAAATCTGAAATCTTACGCAGGTGTGAGATCTCAGTCTCAGGTGTCCCAGAGGCCAGCCTCGCTGACTGTAACAGAAGGAGAGACTGCGATCCTTTACTGCAACTATTCAAGTTCTGATGCCCGCAGTCTACACTGGTTCAGGCAAAGAGCAAATGGAAGCCCAGAGATTATAATGATCTTGTTTTCCACACAAAACGAGGAGAACCAGTTCAGTGGGTCAGTGGACATGGAGAAGAGGACGGGAGTTTTCAATGTCAGCAATTCACAAGCTGAAGATTCGGGCTCCTACTACTGTGCGGTCGAAGCACAGTGTGTGAATCTTGTGAGAGAGGCTGACAGAAACTCAGTACAGTTCATAGAGTAGCTGCACTGTGTGAGCTGGGATTCACATTACACTGGAAAGCAGTACTGCTTGACTTTGCAACTGATAGGCTGCATTATAAGGGTTATCCATTATTTATTTCTGCATCCACATTATTTGTTACTTTTTAAATAGAATTGATTTATGGACATTGATTTATTGGAGTAACAAGACCATGTGTTACTGGATAAAAACTGCCATTTCAAAATGCAGCAATTGAACAGAACTGATTCACGTCCACACTCTAAGTTAATAAAAAGAAATTTATAAACTGTTTCCAAAGCAGTTCTGTGTTGAATGAGATTTAAGGGATTCATATCTCTGCAACTGTCAGCTTGTCCCATAAAGAAATGACTAAAGACCCAGAAAAGTGTTTAAATTTCCCACATTTCTGTGATTTTGTTCATTATAATATTGTTAGAATTGTAAAATCTACATAGCATAATGACATAATGACCTGTAATTTACAACAAAAAAGCACAAGCAAATCTATGTTATTTTTTACTAAATAAGATAAGTTTATGCTGTAAATTCTCTTGGGTTCATGTTAATGAATCTGTAGTATTTGCTCAATTTCCAACTGATTATCACCAGCTTACAGAAATCCCTAGTCACAATGACCTGCGGTGTCTCGTTATCTGTGAATCCAACAAGCCTGGTATTGTACAAAGATCAACGCACAAAGTGCAGTAGACATTTTATACAGTGCGGTAGCCCAGCCGTAGTAAGAAATTGCAGTAACAGCTGACCTACCACTAGAGGCAGTAAATACTTCTAATAGACATGCATAGACACACGTGTGGTGGATCTGATTAGTTAATCATTAAGGTAAGTGGCACAGACCAAGCAAACGTTCTCAGACAGGTAGAATTGGGTGAGAATGAAATCAGAGACATTAAATATTCACACAGCTAGTTCTTCCTGGCACGGTCTGCAGAGGGATGTCAGGTGGAACTACCTCCTGGATTGGAGTCACTACAGTACATTGCAGAACGGTCACATGCAGTTTAAACCACTCAACCTTTCCCTTCTCAATTTCTTTCTTCTATTTAATCAAATCAGTACATGAACAAATCAGTATATCAATAAAATTAATTATTAAAAAGAACTCCATATGATAAGACTTTTTTCAATCAGATGCCAGGATAGAGGAGTGATAGGCTTCATCCAAAAAGACTAAAGAAAAGCAGAGAAGTAAAACTGAAAATAGAGCAAAGTCAGGCCTCCTTGAGACACAGAAGTAAATCGTACTTAACCTTCATTTTAACCTACTACTGCCTGATTACAGATTCACACTAGCAATAGCCTGTAGGCAGGATGGAGCCTCAGACCTCACTGCATACACACTTCCTGGGTGTGTGTTAAAGCTCTGACACAGAGCAGCAGAATGACACTCTGGGTGCAAGCAGCACGAAACTAATAAACACACCGTTTCTCCCGAGGCCTCAGCCTGACATACGGAAGATCACGATGGAAAAAATCTCACTGCTTCTCATCGTCTTGGCTCTTGTTCCAGGTGACTGCGGCAGCCTTATTGCTGTTATTACCTGTATTGTCAGCAATGTTGATGGGCATTGCTGTGAATGCCGTGTTTAGTATCGCTGCCTCATTTTGTGGTTTATTTCCAGATGTTACGACTGGTGACTCTATCAGATCGGAGGAGACAGAGGCTTCCAGCCAAGAAGGAGAACCGGTGACACTGCACTGCACTTACTCCATCACTGGAAGCTATGTTTATCTGTACTGGTTCCGACAGGACCCTGACAAGCCACTGGAATATATACTCTTTAGACCAGCACGGTCCAGTACCTATTCTCACACTGCAGACTTTGCCAAAGGCTATTTTGATTCATCCACCACAAAGGACTCAACTACACTCACTATTAAAACAGTCTCTCTAGCGGACACAGCTGTCTACTTCTGTGCCATGCAGAGACACAGTGTGAAATCGAATTGAGAGGCTGTACAAAAACTGCAACAGCCCTCTCTTTAGCAGCTGTGCAGGAGTGAGACATTATCTCTATTTCACACCAGGATTATAATGTTTGATGTGGAGAGATTGAAGAGATTTAAGATTTTCAGCATTTTTATTTTGCCTTTTACATTGCTCAGTGATGAGGATTTGATTTGTCTGTTTCTGTACAGAATACTAACCACAGCATTTACTTGTTCCAAGGAACCCAACTTTGTTTCCTTAGGTATAGTGTACAAAGAATGCTAAGATTGTGTCATCAGTCAAGGATGCACAGAGTCATGGAGGAGCTGGAGCCTGTCCTGGCAAGCAACAGGCACAAAGCAGGGTACACACTGGACGGGACGCCAGTCCACCACAGGGCACACACACACAGACAAACACATACACACTCAGACCAGAGCCCACAACACTAACCACTGCGCCACCCTGCTGCCTCAGTGAATAATCACTAATCAAGTAATACTGATGTCTGGTTTCCTCAAATTATGCTTTTATAAGGCATTTTAAGAGCTAAGGTTTGGAGGACCAGTTATAGAAAACAATAGTCTATGACAAAAATGAAAAGAAAATATTATGACAGGAACAGGAAAAACTGTGTGTATATGTTACTAGAAAAAAAAGCTGAAACAAAGTTGAAAGAACGTGAAATTTAATTTAAAAAATTCTTTGCTAGATTTATGACTCAGCCTGTCAGTTTTACAGTAGCTCCAGAAAGCATCTGTATTCCATGTGTAAAATGAAACCATGTGTACGCACGTTTGTTGTGTACACTCTGTCATGTGTGCCTCCTTATTTTCATCAATCACATTGTTCATGTGCATATGTCACTACAAATTCCTGCAGACCGTACTGCAGGTAATAGAACTCAAACGAGCAGTCAGAATTACTACAAAAAAAATAACGAAATGGGAAGAAAAAAACAATGTACTTAAAAGTAAAGACGCTAAAACAAATGCAACACACTTAGAGGGTTTTTCGTCCCTGAATAAAAAAAAGTCTAAAACTCTGAATCTGGGCTTCAAATAGACAATGATGAATCAAATATAATCCCTTATAAGTTTTTGTTTTCTTCTCGTAACTTAAGTCCTAGAAGCAGGAGAAGCGACCGGTCCGGCACGATGACTTCATCTCCCCAGCTCTGGAGCTCTCTCATCTACTCTGGCTTGAATTACCACATCTCGCGGGATGTGAAAGAGGCGTCGAGATGTGCCGTGACAGCTGTGACCTCAGGGGCTGACGTCACGCCCACAATGATGAAGAGGGGCTAGTAATAGCAGAGGATGTTTTTGCTTTGGCTGGTTATTGAAATAAAGAATTCCACTCCACTCCACCCCCCCCCCTCCCCCCCTTTTGAGTGCTTTCACAATGTAACGATATCAATGCTCAACGCCTTGGTAAATCGTACACAGGGAATGAGTGTAGGAAGGCAGTACTGAGCGAATAGCAGGCGTCTTGCAAGAAGAGCTGGACGTTTGCCTTACGAGCACGGATCTGACTTCAAATCCGCCCCCTTAACGGGGAACCTGGTGTGAATTGGGACCGCTTGCCCACTCTCCCCAGACTGAAAAAGTTCAGATGGAGAAAGGAAAGGAAGACGCGCCTGCACAATTTCAGCTGCGGCAGCAGGGGGGATCGGGAGCCGCCGGGGATCGGGGAAGGATATCGCATCCCGGCGAGAGGGATCGTGTTGGGTCTGTCCGGATCTGTCCGGGAATCACGGGGGCAGAGCTGACACAACCCGGGGCCGGTAAGTCAGGACTGAGCTGTCATTTAAAAAAAAATCTGCTGTAGTGCTGGATATGGACTATCTGAGCAGAGCAGCGTTCTTGGTTATTTAATGATAATTACTGCTACTGTTTTACAGTTTTATTAAAAAAGGCGTGAAGGAAGACAAGAGCTGACCAGAACAAGCCAGATTTCAATATTACTGTACATTTCTAGCAATGTGATACTGTAGCTTCACATTTTACATTAAGATTATTATGTATGAATTATTATTTAAACCAGATTCTCAATCGATTGAGGACAAATTATCATCCAGTAAGGACGCAGCCAAAAGCCAGACCAATGTGCACAAAAAGCGCCGAAACAAAATTAACAGTAACGTGTAAGCGCTTGGGTCTTAGTGAGAGAATGACTGTGCTCTCGTTTAGTTGTAGTGGGGGCTACAGTCATTACTGTGTGTCCAGGTGTTAAATATTTGTGTTCGTAATCAGCCTTCACAAGTAACGTTTTCTTCCAGCAACAAGAAGCATGCATTTCGATCCGTCTTAGGAGTTGCGATTGATGGAATTCGGTGTTGTAGGCTGGGGAATTTGTTTTTAATTGACAGTTTTGACATTTATTTTCATGGACAAGACACAATAGCAGAACTGTAAATGAAACCATAAACACCTTTACTATCGAACATGGAATGCAAAACTAATCCTGAAAAATACATATGAACGCTACAAACATTTTTTTCAAATAGCCATCTTCAGGGCATGGAGCTCTGCTGGTCTTTTTCCAGCCAATCACAGAAAGGCTCTTGGTACTGTACATACAGGAGTTTGTCCTTGTATAACCTGTGCAGATGATCCCAGGTGTGTGGGTTCCTACCAGGGGTACAGTAAGGTCTGATGCTGTTGTGATCAAGTTCAATACATGACTGATGAAACATTAAACAGCTGTGTTTCTGGTGGAAGCTGTGCACAGGTCAAATATTAGATTAAAATGCAGTACAAAAAAAACCCTGAAATGTTAATGAATGTTATTACTGACAGACTATTCCATGTGCCAGTTTTGGTATATAAACCTATGGATTTCTTTGCATTATTGATGCATACATTGGTTTGCTCCAATGATATTTTTTGTGAATTAACCTTAAATAGTCAGTGATTCATTTCTCCAACCTTTTACATTCAAATGTAATAATTAGATGCAATTATCTAGGACATCTAACAAGAATGGCTACCCATACATTAGTACAGGCATAGAAGATGGCAAATGATTATATACAGCATATATTTAATTAGAAAATGACAATTTAGTCAAGAATCATTCAATGTAAGGAGGATGATAACTACAAGAATAAATAATGAAACTCAATGGTGGGAGCCTTGGTTCTATCTTTGAAAATAATATAGCCATCTTAAACATCATAATACTGTTGTATTTTAATGGCCAAAACTCTCATAAAATATTTTTCTATATATTAAATGATAACATTTTTTGCACACTTTTTCCATCTTGATTGTTATTTTTGTATTTTACTTTCAGCAAATTTAGAAAAAAAACATAAGCAATTGTTTTATTTTTAAGAGAGTGTATCTACTATAAATATAGGCTTCTTTTAAAAGGCTGTGTTCACAAAAACAGTGAAACTGCCCATGCATTGCATTTAACCTCAGTGTGCCCAGATACACTCTCTTAAAACCAAAAAGTCACTAAAACTAAAACAAATGCTGAAGTTTGTATGAATAAAAACTCTTAATGAGTTTAAAGCGATCCAATGTAAAGATATGTTCTTCCGCAGTCCCCCCACCATTAGTTTAAGAACATTTCCCTATCTTCACCCAAATAGTGCATCATCTCCCTAAATCTCAAGACCTCCTATCACAATACAAACATTTCAAAAGATTCAGGTTCCGGCATCCATGTCTGTGAAATTCAAAGATCCTAAATACATAATCCATTACTGAAACAGGGGAAACAGCTCTCTTCAAGTGCAAAGATGAGAGTCACAGAATATATGTATTCATTTTTTTTCAAATCATACTGAATTGTAACAACACCATAAGGCATTTTTTTTCTTTTCTGAAAGCCCTTAAGTAATCCTGAATATTTTGTTGTTTTGAGCATGCAATGAGAGTGCAGTGAACTGGAGCTCATGGTTGTGACTGGACTCCCCACAGTCCCCCCTGTTAAATGCACTGTTCTCTCATCCTGTCTGTCCTACAGGAGCAGTGCAGGCCACCCCTGATGCCAGCGAAAGGCTTTCTATTGAACAGCGGCACTGTGAGAAGCAGTGGGGCTCCAGTAGCAGACGTGGCCCAGAATGCCCCGCTCCGGCAGGCAAGGACACTCTCGCCCAGCGGCACAGGAGCAAAGAGAGTGGAAAACACATCAGCACTCTGACACGGGCACCTGAGTGGGTTTCACACAGTCTCAAACTACTGAGATCTGATCACAGCACGGCAGGGCTCAGTAATCTGGACACTGAGAATGCGAAAGAAAGTCTCACTGGACTAGAGTGTGGTGTTGAACAGGGGGTCAAAGAAGAGGAGCTGAACGAGCCGGATACTGTTCGAGTTACTGAACAGAGCACCGAGCCCCACTCGGCTCAATCCACAGAGCAGCACACTGAGCCACTGCCGGTTCACATCAAAGAAGAAGAAGGCAATGATCTTCTGCGTGGACCTTGTGAGGGATCTCCATTCGTGAAGGAAGAGGCCCTTGAGCTGGATTGCGTCCACATTAAGGTGGAGAGGCAGACCCAGTCCACACACTCAGATGGGAACAGGGCTGAGTTTGATCACAGCCAGCAGGGCCATTACACAGAGGACTGCAAAGGGGAAGAGCAACTCCGAGACCAGGAAATCAGGAAGACCGACCCGCTGGATATTATAGTTCTGAGGCCTTGCTCAGTCAGGGTGGAAAGACTGTCATTACAGCACAATCAGCAACAGCACGAGCTCCCCACTACGTCCGCTCCACCGCCTGCGAGTAAGGACAACGAGGGATCCACTCGAAACCCAGACGCTGTCCATCACAGCACCCACTGTGGGAAGAGTCTCAGTCGCTTGGGAGATCTTGTGCCACACCAGCTTATCCTGCCAGAACACAGGCTGTACTCCTGCTCTCAGTGTGAGAAGAGGTTTACCCAGCCGTCTGATCTTGAAATACACCAGCGCCTTCACGCGGAGCATAGACCTTTCAGTTGCAGCCAATGTGGGAAGAGTTTTCCCGAGTTAAGTGACCTAAACCGGCATCACCGCTGTCATACAGCAGAGAGACCCTTTATCTGCAGTCACTGTGGCAAGAGTTTTAACCAGTTATCCAACCTTAAAATACACCAGCACTTTCACACCGGCCATAGGCCATATAGCTGTAGCCAATGTGGGAAGAGCTTCAGTCAGTTAAGTGACCTTAACAGGCATCAGCGCATTCACACCGGAGAGAGACCCTTCATCTGCAGCGAGTGTGGCAAGAGTTTTAGTCATTTGAGCGTTTTAAAATGCCACCAGCGAGTTCACACGGGAGAGAGACCTTTCACGTGCAGCCAGTGTGGGAAGAGCTTCAGCCGGCTCAGTTTTCTGAAATGCCACCAGCGCATCCACACAGGAGAGCGCTCGTTTATCTGTAACCAGTGCGGGAAGAGTTTTATTGACTTGAGAGGTTTAAAAAGGCACCAGCGCATTCACACGGGGGAAAAACTGTTCATCTGCTGTCAGTGTGGGAAGAGTTTCCTCGATTTGAGCAGCCTAGAAAGCCACCAGCGCACTCACACAGGAGAGAGGCCGTACAGCTGTAGTCAGTGTGGGAAGAGCTTTATTGACCTGAGCACCCTCAAACGCCACCAGCGCATCCACACAGGAGAAAAGCCTTTCAGCTGCAGTCACTGCGGGAAGAGTTTTATTAATTCAAGCGACCTGAAGAAGCACCAGCGCATTCACACCGGGGAAAGGCCGTTCAAGTGCACGCTTTGTGGCAAAAGTTTTTGCCAGTCGGGGGCGTTAAAATCCCACCACCGCATCCACACTGGAGAAAAACCCTTCAGCTGTACCCAGTGTGGGAAGAGTTTCAGCAATTCGAGTGATCTGATCAAGCACCAGCGCATCCACACAGGAGAGAGACCCTTCACCTGCAGTCAGTGTGCGAAGAGCTTCAATGTCTTGAGCAAATTAAAAAGCCACCAGCGTGTTCACACTGGCGAGAGGCCTTTCAGCTGCAGTCAGTGTGAGAAGACGTTTAGTCTTTTGAGCACGCTGAAACGCCACCAGCGCATTCACACAGGAGAGAAACCTTTCAGTTGCAGTCAGTGTGGGAGGAGTTTTAGTGACTTAAGCAACCTAAAAAGACATGAGCGCATTCACGTAGGGGAGAAACAACTGTAAGATATTTTCATCATTTCGTCTTTCCTATTACGGTCATGACCTGTCCAGTTCTTCAACGATATTTCTATTATGCTTAACACTGTTTGCTATAGAACATTCACTGTTGTTGGGCCTATATTAACATTTATTACATAATCCTCTGGCACCCTGTAGCCTGACCTTGTCAGATCTCAAAAGCTCTCTCCGGACTGCTGTTATTACTTTAACTGCTGCCCCAAATTAGCTTTGAGAGCAGGTTTTAAGGCCTGCAAGAAGAAAGGATACCTAAGAGCACAAGGCAGAGTTTTGACTCTGTTGCCTGGGCAAAACATTCCCGTGTTCCCCAGAGCAGTAACTGGGGTGTACTATCAAGTCTGTGAACAGGATGTCTTCAAATTACTGTGCAGTATGTTGTTTTAACAATCCGTATTGTATTTTTTACAATGTACTGTATGTGGTAATAAATAGAACTGCTGTGTATTCCAACTTGGTTGTGTCCTCTATGTGAACACAGGGTAGAGGCATGAAATCAAGTTAATACCCTAAAATGTATCCAGCAGCACTGGGTTACAGTCAGTGTGGGGAGAGTTACATGACCTTGGTTGCTGCTATATTTCTCATCGTGCCACCTGGCTGGGAGAAGCCAGTTTCTCCTGTACTCGGGAAAGTAATGACACAGAGGCACAGCTCAGGGCTTGTAAATTCATAAGAGCCCCAGAGATTAATGTCCATTCAAGTACCCAAGAGGAGCAATACAGTGTGTGCTCCCTGCCAGCCTTCAGTGAGGAAAGGCAATATCGAAGGCTAGATTTTCCCAGTCTTAAAGAATGACAGTAGATAAGTGACCTGAAAAATGTTCCTGGAAAGTACAGAACTGGTTTTAAAAAAAAACGCGCCTGGTGCTTAGGATAATTCCGGGATTTTACAGAGCATCGCTGCAGTACAAACTGCAGATTTCATGCTAAAAATTCTAAAGTGGATTCTCAAATTTGAGAATTCTAAAGTGGAAAGCGATCGCTGTGCATCCTGTTTAATTTCGTAGGCCAATCGAGATGTCTTTATTGTCAAATATCCCCACCTACTGGATAATCTGCAAATTGCAAGTTGTCCATTCCTGTTAAGAATAAGAATAAGATCACTTTATTAGCCCTATACAATTTTTTGCATTAGGAATTTGTCTTTTCGCATACCCCAGCTTGCTCTCCATCAGACACACGGGGGGGAGAGAGAAGCTTGAGGTCAGAGTGCAGGGTCAACCATTTATACGGCGCATAACATATTACATAACAAAAGTCTCAGTGTATAGGGTTGTTTCCGTAAGACTATGGCTAAACCGATCGGCCCAAGCTTCTGTTCAGCTTATTTACACTGTGATTTGAAATGTTTTTTCTTAACCCTAAGAGCTCATTAAAGTAGGATTCATTCTCGAAGAGTTCCTCAAAACTGTGATATTGTGTTCTGAAACAAAGCTTATTATAGTGTAGGAGATTGGGGGGTTAGATTTGCTGTAACAATCAGAAATTGCAACAATAAATTGCACGAGTACTTTATGAGTTTTAGGTACCAATCAAACAGAATATTTTATAGTCTCCCACACAGATTCCAAATGTAAAATATGCAATTTATCGATCTAACCAAAACATGCATAACAAACGTAATAGCATATACTGTACAGTATATCTGTGAAATGATCTGCTGGGACTCAAAAGCTGAATGTTCACTCAGGGATTACAAAGATCAGAACTAATAACTTCAGAGTTAAAATACGCATCAATTATAATGTTATGGTCTACCTCCTTATTTTTATCAGTCTCATACTGTTAAATCACATTAATATTCTCAGACACTAGTATGCATTCACAGTTGTGAACTAAATATGTGTTTGGGTAGTAGTTCAACTCTCGTTAATTATAATGTGAATAATTCTAAATAATGAAGTTACTCAACAGATCTGTTGTCCAGACGTCCGTGAAGAGTTTAAACTTCATGCTGGTAAAATGCAGCTGATCGGGATTGTTTCTTCTATAGCTGGTTCTCTGTGCTGGCAGGGTCCCGGAGCAGACAGATAGAGAGAGAAGGAGCTTTTGCCTTGCTTTGCTCTGCCGAAGTAGCAAAGTCTTTCTGCCTTTGGTCTTTAAAAACCATCTGTGCCCAGTTTGTTTTCTTGTGGTCCAGCCTCAAGTTAGACAGGGGTGAACTCTGTTCATGCCAGCTATATATTTTTTGTTCATAGTTTGCTCTGATATTCTGGATGTCGACAAACAGAAAGAGTCTATTTTTTGGAATGGGCAAAAATAAGCCAACACAAGATGTCTTCTGTTTCAGGAAGAATATCTTAGAAAGAATATTGCGCTTTACTGACTTGCAAATGGGAAGCCATTCTCTTGTTGCAAAAAATCGCAAAAATGCTAGGAACCCTTACAAGGCAATAATGACAAATTACAGTATTTTACTCTAAAGATGCCAAGTCAATAACTTCCAGACGTGCATCTTCATCACCCAGGCAGGCAGAGCAGTACAAAGGCAGTTGTAGAATTACTGAAATCTCTGAACACCAGAAGGAAGCTGAATTATAGGAATTGCTGTGCTAAGTTAAACACCTGATCAAAGACGTACTGTATTTGAGACTCAATCTTCTGTTGCATGCTGTATACAGTAGGCTAGAACATTTAACAATTTGTCTAGGAATCGTTTTATATATTCATATTAAGAGTCGAGAAATATGAACCCAAGCTATCTGTAAATTGAGGAAAGACACTAATAGAATAAAACTCAAATGGTTATTTGAAATTAAAGTGTTATAGTTGTACTCAACACTAGGTGGCAGTATGTGCAGTACAAAGTCAGTACCTTCGTCAGTAAGGTATAAGTGCAGTAACACGTCTGTTTCATCGCAGACTGGCTTCAGGGAGACAAATCTGCACCAGAGAGATTAGAGGAGTCAAGATCTGTACTGGGAATGTCACCAAGAACTGGAAACATGTTTTTCATAGTAATGATCCCAATAATATCTTTCATAAGTATGTGTATTTTTTATTTTCATTCTCCACTAACTGTATGTAGATTTTACTTATGTACTGTATGTCTGTTAGTAACCAGCATTTATTTTCTGATTTTACTGTAGGTCACACAAAGGCTGAAATTGATCAGCCCTTCAAGGTATTTTCCTCTACAGGACAGAAGACTGTACTGAGATGTAACCACAGCTTTACAAACTATAACAGTATGTACTGGTATCTGCAGAGACCCAGTGAAGCTCTTCAGCTCTTGATTTATGGATACAATTCAGCTGAACCTAAGGGACGTTTCTCAATGACCTTCAAGATCAATCTTGTAACTGAGCTTCACATCAGTGACACTCAGCTGGAAGATGCTGTGATGTACTACTGTGCAGTGCAGCCCACAGTGGTGAAGACTGTGAAGATGTCAGTGGATAAAATGCAGTGACATGGCAACAAATGTGCTTACATGACTATGAAAAAGAGCTCAGAGCTTACTGAAGCAATCACACATTTTCAATTTGATCTACTGTATTCTACCAGTTGCCTTAATGTGAGATGATTTCAAATGTAAGAAATATGATTTTTTTATTCTATTTTAATAGACTTGACATACAGCATGAATATCAAAGATAAAATTAAAGAGAGCAATTGAAACATTCGGAAAATACATCCATACCTGCTGGTGTTCTAAGGTTACACATACAAGATAAATAAATTAAACTGATATGGTTCAAAGTAAGACTACAAATATAAATTAAGCTAAATATTTGAAAAATAATCAATACCCCCTATTCCTCCAAAACTGTGTAATCACAGAGCTGTTCTTTCCAATTTAAATTTGGAACCAGATTCTGTCCAGGTAATGTGGGCACTATAAAGAACACCAGGCTTAGAACTTTACAAGAGGAGTTGCTATGGTATTTATATTAGGAAATTATGATTTCCTATATTGTGGAATTCTAGGGCTAAAAACAATGCTCCGGTTTTAGTGATACAGTACATTTTTAGTACAGAGAATTTGGTTCCTTTTCAATTGCAGGCATTCATACTTCAGAGGGATATTTAACATCCCACCACTTATGAAGTGGGACAATCGTATCTGTGTATATTTAAGGTTACAGTGTTAGTGCTTACAGAAGGTGCATTGTTGAATGTGACCATTTAATACCTGCAGTTAACATCAAGGCAAAATTATCTGTCAAAGTGAGATAACAAATTACTTTGCTAAAGCAGCCAAAAGTGATTGCTTCCAACGTTTGTTAAGAGAAGAACAGGACAAAAACCGCCTGAGTCTGCACCTAACTAACCTCTGCCATGTTCCACCTGCAGCTGCACCTTAAAGAAATCTTGGGAAGTAACTCCAGTCTGTCTGTCCTGCAGGGCAGTCCCAGCATTGCTTTGCTGTGTGCACTGAGCTCAACAAAGACTAAAACTACACAAGGCCATCTCCTGCTACTCTGCTGAAGACTTTCCACAACACTTGTCTTATATAGAGATAAATGTTTCTTAACCTTTAAACTCCATCTAGCTCAGGCAGGGTAGAATGACGTTTGGGAGGCCTAGACACTTGATCATTAAGGTCACTGAAATGTTATGGTTTGAGAGAGGCCATCACTGCAGTCTTCATGTCTGAGAGAGGCGGCCCCTGTAACCTTAATTCCTCAGAGAGGACTTCCCTGAGAGCTTACATTCTGAGGCAAGCTGTCACAGAAACCTCATACTCTGAGTTATTCAGGTTGTCAGTGTTTCTGCATCATCATGATGTTCTTCTGTATTCTTCTGGTTTTGACTATATCAGGTATGTACAATTACTGTCTAACAGTCAGCGGATTTAATATGTTAAAAATGGGTATTTTCTCCATTTTAAATCGATTGTGCTATGCCGTAACACATTTCATTTTGGTTTTCCACAGTTTATCATGTGAACATCTGGTTTATCATGTGAACATCTGTATTATTGTACTGTATTATTGTACCTTTAAAACACGATTCTCTGATTCAACAGTAATGGAAAGCACAAAATGGCACTGTACATTTTGGCAAAGGGCACAGGGCAAAATCAAATTTTTAAGAGAATCTAAGCTAAAGTCTTAAGACAGGGAATAAGAGAAGTGTATGTGAATTGTCAAATGACAATCTCTTTTTTATGTTGTCAGGAGAGAGTGGGGCAAACACGATTGTCCCAACATCTAAATCACAAGTTGTCAGCGAGGGACACAGCACTTCCCTCATCTGTAACTACACAGGTGATGTCAAAAATTTACAGTGGTATCGACAGCTTCCAGGAAGAACCATGGAATTCATCATCCTCATCTATGAGACTGGTACAGATGTCAAAGCCAGCCCCCCAATCCCTGGCTTCTCAGCTGCAGTTGATAAAGAGAAGAAACGTGTGGAGCTGAAACTCTCCTCCGCTACAGTGACAGACTCAGCCCTGTACTACTGCGCCCTGAGCCCCACAGTGACAGGAAACTCACAGCAACGCCATGCAGAAACTGGCAACACATATGTTAATATGTGCAGTCAAAATGAAGTGAAGTGAACACCATGTACAGAGAAGCTTTTTGGTTGCTTTCATATTGTAGAAATGTATTGTTTTCTCTGACATTTAATTGTTTTCTCCAATACTTTCATTGTAAGGGATTAAAATTGCAGTTTTTACAGAAAGACAGAGACAAGTCCCCTTCTTAAATCCTACAGTATTTCTGGTTCTTTTAGTTTTTTTACCTGGATAGATCCTGTTAATGATGTGGGAATGTGTGTGTTTGGGTTGGGAACCGGTTATAAAAAGCAGAGAGTAAAGATAATGGCAAAATGTCTGACTTTGGTCATGTAATTAGCAGAGCATTTCAGGGATCTATAGTGAAAAAAAAAACATTACAAGAACATTTCCTCTTCTCTGACCTTTCTCTGAAGTTTAAGATGACATAACAGATTACAGATTCATGACTGTACCCTGATATTAGAGACACTCTATGACCTCATCTGTACTGCACTAAAGAGAGCTGGGTGTTCTAATATCCTGGGGAAGACTGTGGAGACACACTGGAAGTAAACAGAGGTTTGGTACCTCTGTCATCTAAAAGCAGTGATGGAGTTCCTGCTTCTCTGTCATAAGGGGTGGAGACAGCTGTCTTTGTGTGAGAGTGTGGTTATACAGGCTGCTGTTCAAATGAAGAGACAAAACGAGAATAGAGGTTGTATTGATAAGTCACTCAGAGAGAAACACTCAGGACAGCTATGAAACTGGAAATATTTCACTGGACCGTCATCATAGTTCTCTGCTTCAGAAAAGGTTTGTGGGACATTACTATTACCATTGTTACTGTTTTATATCATATTAACCTCTCAACTGATTTATTAACCTCTTCTTTTTCTTTATGTCTAGAACACGCAAGGGGACAGTCTGTGAACCAGTCTATGTCTTCAATCACAGCTAAAGAAGGACAAAATGCAACAATTCCTTGTTTTTATAAGGAAGGGTCTACAACCTCGTACTTGTTCTGGTACATTCAAACTGTCCCCCAGCCTCCATACCTCATATACAATGAGCTATTGAAACAGCAAAGTGTCCCTGAGAAGTTCAAAAACCGTCTTTCGGCAGAGAAAAAGGAGAATACATTCCATCTTCAGATCAGCCCTGTGGAGCTCTCAGACTCTTCGGTTTACTTCTGTGCACTGCAGCCCACAGTGAGAGCAGCTGCACCAACGCCACACAGAAACCTCCTCCTGACTTAAACCCCTTCACTGCTGTTATTGTGTGTTGGGCCATAAAGACATAGAAAATGAAACTCTGTAATGAACTGTAATGTAATGAACCAGAAATATTTCTGATCATACACTACAAATCTACACTTTTATAAATACACACTTTTACCATATTTACACTTTGCTTTAATTGGGGGATTGTGTTTCTATGAAATGCATGTAAAGTTTTGAAGTGTTTGCTGCTAATTTTGTCCCTTCTTCTTTATCCTGCATTGTGTTCTAGAAATGGTGAATGTGATGAGCACACATGTATTCTGGTGCACACGCATTTTGTGCCATTAAAGCCCTAATCTAATCTAGATTGTCTATAATACCAATAATCTAGTCTAAATAATTCAAATGTAAATTCTCCACTTCCCAGAAAGTAATCTTCAATAACATTGAAAAGAAATGAATGTTTTCACTAGTTTCTCTGTAGATCTCATGATGGCCTGAACAATGGAGAAACTGAGAGAATGTGAAGGCAAAGCGCTCACATGCCTCTTACCTGTATATGGATTTATTTTGTGTTACAAGAGCATGTACTGCCCTCTAGTGGGGGGGGAAAGATCCTCAAAAGAGAAAGAGCAGCAGTAAGAAATATTTCTTTAAATCATATAAAGCCCAGGTTTGGAAAAGTTCTGTTCTATACTCAATTGTTGGCAAAGTCTAGTAAAATACTTAGTCATATTTAACAACAGCCAACAGAAACACATCTTCTACATACTGTAAGGTATGCATTTAGAATTACTTTATTGCTGTTTTATAAGCCTTTCATTTCAACCTAGTGTAGCAGCAAAGACAGTCTCATCCTGAAAGAGGAAGTCTCAGTCTCTTCAGTGCTGAGGTGGGAAATTTTTCTAATGTGTCAGACTAAGAGTACAGTATTAGATATTAAGAAGTACTAATCTGAAGCAAGAACGAACAATTGAACAGTTCGTAATGTACAGTATGTGAATGTCCAAGTGCAGTATGACAATCATTTTCAGACTGAAAGACTGAATGAAGCAGTTTCTGCCACCAGTGGTTATCCTTGCATTAATTCAAAGGTAGGAAAATACACAGCTATAAAAATAACCTGATCATTTTAGTTAAACAACTCAATTCTTACTTTGTCACAAAGAAATCAATTCAAAGCAATGAAATCTGTCTTCAAACAGGAAGTGATGTGGTGCAGGTGGGAGGGACATGTGCTTACACAAAACTCTTGGCTCTGCTGCGACTCTCCTCACACTGTACGATGGGCTCAGAAAAAGGATGGCTGTTTCTCCTTCTGCACACAGTTACACATCTTCACTGTAAGTGTCCAGAGTTCTGCTGTATATCCAGTTCATCAGGTTTCTGCTTTTGCGCTGCTTGTCTGAGTAGATCACTGACCAAGTTAGCTATTGGCAGGCATTCGCAAAGGATCGAACAGTGTTCAGACCTCTAGCTAAGTAACTCCTCTATTTAAATTTGCTGGACATGAAAACGCTCTATGATATATCCCGCCTGGTGCCCGTTGCTTGCTGGGCGTCCTTCACCACCCTGTACTAGATCAACTGGTTAAGCAAAATGGATGATCATGAAATTCAACCACTTCTTCATATTGCTGTCTTCCACAGATGTCAGGTCTGCAGAGCAGGTGAGCCAAATTCCTGCACAAGTGACTGTGGCTGAAGGAAGAACAGCTAGCATTCACTGCAATTATACCGACTCCAGGGTCACCGTGGTGCACTGGTACAGACAGCAGCCCAGCACAAAGCCGGAGAAAGTGATAAGCTCGTATGGGGACCTCGAGAGAGAGAATCAGCTCAGCGCGTGGCTAAACACCAAGGGCAGGTTCGGGGTTTTCAACATCAGCCTCTCACAGACAGGGGACTCAGCCCTCTATTACTGTGCAGTGGAGGCACAGTGAGTCACAGCTGTGACAGGATAAGACACAAACACCTGGCAGAGTCAATGAACTAGCTCCACTGCAAACCCAAACACGCAGAGCACTAACCTACTGTACCAACTGCTGCCAGAGTTCATTTTCAGTATGTTGAAAATTTGAGAATTTCCCATGAGGCACTGTAGGCACAGTGCCTAGGGCCTATGAAATTTTTGGGGCCTACGAAGGAGGGAAACCCTATTGACTAATGAAAAAAGAGCTGAAACAACATGCTTTGCGATCGACTCCAAATCAATAATCATACGCTATCTAGCGGCTGTTCTACAAACCAGAAATATCGAAATTATGGTCGCCCGACTCACTCTATCAATCACAGGGTTTAGCATTAGAATAGTTAAAAGTGCATCATGTCAATCAACGTAATTCAATTGGCATTTACCCCTCTTTTTACACATTTCAGAGTGAAAGTTCGTAGGGCCTACAAACATCAAAATCCAGCGCTGCTTGGGTCCAACTCAAAGTCAGATAAATCCCGGTGGTAAATGTCAAAGTTATTTACTTGCTTAACTGTTATCTTTAAATCCTTTGTTCATACATCTTTGTATTTCCCTGTGGTTATTACATTGCTAATTTAATCAGTACTGGCAGGTTGTATTTTTGTCTTACCTGATGTGGATAATGTTATCCTGATGGTAGTTGATGCCGCCATTTTGTGTTACAGAATTACAGATCCTGTCTCACCTCCAGTTTAAATGGAGGCTCACCTGTCCATCAAGAGGAGCCAGGGGTGTGGTTTAGGGTGTTTAACACTCAAGGTGTAGCAGCCTAGTCTTCTCTTAGTCTTTGTTTGTGTTCATTCACTTGAAATTTTACCTTCAATAGGTTCAAAGTTTTGATTTAAAAGCAGCCTGCTGTTTAATTTTTTTAGAAATAACCTTGTGTTTAAGTATACATAACCCTCACTCCTGTTGTATATGCCCATGATCTGGACATTGTACATAATCTAGTAGGTATGGAGCAATATACTGTATTAATAGGGGTTGTTTTATGTGGCACAGTTTGGAAACAGTTTGATTTAGAAACTGACCTTTTATTAGTGGGGTATTTTATTTATTTATTTGAACAGTAATGAAGGTTTGGAAAACCATGACAATTATGCTGTGGCAAAGAATAAACATTTTGTGACTTCTTTACCCTGCTGGTTAAAGCCCATTGAGTTAGTTTAATATTACATTTTCATCTCCTACAGAACACCTGACCCAGGATCTGAACACCCAGAACAGTGAGGGGGAGGCATGAAGGCTCATACTGTACCTCTGTAGCTGCAGTTTTTATATGGTCATCAGTGCTTCAAAGAGCTCTGTAAGAGTGAATACTCTAAACAACAGCAGTATAAATAATAGTACAATATATTCAAGCCATTGTAGCCTGGAAGGAAATGCACAGACTTCAGGTACCTATTATACAGTATTTTTATTCTTTCAAGAGAGTAAAACATTCTCATCACACATACCTATAACGCTCTACATGGCTTGGCATCTCAGCACCTATCTGATTAATTATCTTCCTACTCCCCACCTCGCAACCTTTGTTTGTCTGAATCTGGTCTCCTGCTTGTCCCCCAGGCTTGTCTGCACTCTAGGGGTGAGCTCTTGCTGCGCCCTTGAGCTCTGAGATCCGATATCCCCAAGGATGTCATAGAATCACCTTCCCTTAGAACTGTCATATCCACACAGAAAACCTTCTTCTTCAGAAGGACTTTTACCTTACAGTATGTCTATATCTGTGATGGAGCAATGGATGTGTCAGTGTCAGTCTAAGCCACTAGAGGGCAGCTTAGTGACACTCTAGAGAGGATTTGAGAGCAGACATTCTCACATTTCAAACTGATGAGGAATGCAGCTGTGAGGCTAATGCTGACTTTGAAAGAGCTGCAGAGTTCAATGGCTGAGATGACAGACAAATGACCATGAGTCAAAAATTACCTGGTCACTCCACTACACTGGCCTGGATGTCAGAGTGG